GTATCCTTGAGAGGTTAATGCACCTGAAATATACTTAGTAGAAAGGGAACTATAATTGTTGTTGAAATAACTGTGGTAAATCTACATTGTAACCAGAACTGGACCTTGCACAGTCTCTGTACCTTTTGCTTCTCACATAATTTAATAAAAATGCCTCTCAGGACATCTCATTAAAGATGACTCACTATTGTGGAACTCCCATCTAATGCTTGTGTGGCTTCATTATTTTTAGCATAGCCACACCAGCATAAAATCACAATGCTGTGACTGTGAATATATCCTTCAAATTCCAGACAAGCACTAACCAGAGTCTGATCTGAGTTACGACACCATAAATCTATTGTATTTGAAATCATCGGGATCACATGCTCTACCAGAAAACACTGTTTGCTCTACTGAATGCTTAACTACTGAACCACTGCTGTGCTGTTATTATTATAGTTATTTATTATGAAAGGCTGACAGTTTGATAGAAACTATTCTTCTCAGGCAATGTAGTATGGATATGAGTGCTTGTGTATAACTCTTTCCAATTAATTAGTTTTTTGGTATTTTATTAAACGTTAGCTGAAAGTGATTTTTTTTTTTTTTTTCCAAATCTACAATACTTCGGGCTTTCAGCTAATTAATTGGATGCCACCTTTGTTATTTACAAGGGGATTGCGATGATAAGTTACAGTTCATTTTGAGCCAGTGCTTCCTCAGTGATGGATTGGTGCCGTTTGAAACAAGTTCAGAGGAGCTGTGTGAAATGCTCTGCGCCTGCATAAAGTTGTCCAGCTGCTAAACGAGTAAGGAAACCCCCCTTCTCCTGCCTGCTCTCAGCCATGCCAACCACTGCTAATGTGACTTCTAGAGAGGAGAGTGAACTTCCTTGAGAGGCACTGAGGCCAAGCTGCTCTTCAGATATCGAAATGTGTGTTGGACTGTGCTGCAAAGGTGACTTTTCTGCTCTCTGCTGTGCAGCCACAGGAGTAAGAGGGGGTTACTGGCTCTCCTTTTCCATTCCTTACAATTTAAAGCTGTGGCAGGCACCTGAAAGCTGCTTGATAGCAGAACTTGTGTGAATTTAGTAAACACGAGCATCTTTCTTCCTAGGGGCTTGCTCTCTTTCAGGTGTTTTAAAACCATCCTCAAGCTGGAGCATCTGCAGCACTGGAGTGACTGAGACACATTTGTGGGCAAACAGTTGGTAGAATCACACCTTTTCCCAATAGGTGATGTCTGATGACTGTAGAGATACTTCAAATGCAGGATGTGTTGAATTAGAGTACGGACAGGTAATCAAGTTATTGCGGCGTAAAACTTTTTCACAGCAGCTGAGCAACAACGACTGTTTGTGGGCGGGTCTTTAGTCCCCAGAAAATGACAATGCAGGGATGAGCAACGTCTTGATCTAAATGGGGGATGAAGAAGGTGTGTGCAGCTGTTGAATGCAATGTGGTTTCACGTGTGCAGCCAGGCAGGCAAATGAAGAGGCGAAAGCCTCCTTAAATCCATGCCTGACTTAACTCAGACTGCAGGCTAAACCACTTCACATTTCTTTACAGCTGGTCTAGGCTGAAAGCAGATGTGGGGACGGCTGCCATCACTCAGCTAATGTGCAGCAACCTGTTCGTCCAAACAGGCAGTGTCTGAATTTAGAGGACTGATCCCACCCCCTAAAACCCACAGCATACATCCTGCAGTCACATCCTTTTCAAGTTGGAACTAGAAATAGAGAAAGAAACATAGTTTTGAGTCCTCTAGTCCAAAGATGCAGAACCAGATACGCAGATTCAGAAGCTTCGTTCTGGCAACATGTGGAGTCTAGCAGTGGGTCTGTTCTTACTGAACACTTCCCTTTACCAACAGCCTCACAGGGGAAAAAAAAAGCCATGGACAAGAGTATTGTGTTCAGCAAAAAGAGTTCTGCAGCAGGTTATCGGCAAATGGCTTGTCAGGAGATTTACAGCTTAATATGAAGCCCTGCAAAAAAGGTTAAGATCTAAATTCAAGTCATGCTTCTGTCTCCCTCTAATAATATTTTTCAGACTAGTGGACTCACAACCAATTTTTGGTGCTGAACTGACTTCAGAACATTAGCTATGCCCATGTCAAATGTTTTTCTATTTGCTCTGCTGCTCTTACTGATGAAAGAAAAGAGGGTTTTTTTCATCATCATCCTCAATTCCTTTAACTTTATGTTTGGAAAAGATTATAGAATTCATTAAAAAATACTCTTTGGAGGGGTATTTCTTATTCTGAGCTCAAGGTTATGTTTTTACACATGGAAAGCTTTTCCTAGTTGTTTCATATTTAGCACTTTTCATGCTTAAAAGCCCTTTTTCTCCCTCAAATGAGTTGTACCTGGCTCCATTCCAAAATGACACATTTGCTATTAGTCAGGTCTTTTTCTTAAACAGCTTAGTTTTCATAAAACGGGAGAACAACATCTGTCAGGACTTTTTGTGTTCTAACAAGCTTATCTATCTACTTTACTTTTCACAAAACGGAAGGTAATGCCAGATAGCAGGGAACAGAACAGGTAGAAGAAGACCAAAATCCCAAGTATTCCTACTAACGTATTCACTATGTATTTGATAATGTTCTTATTGACTTTCCAGTTATACAGCTATTGGTGATTGGAGTGGAAAGTAAAATTTATAGGAACGGGCCATTACCTCTACATAAATGTAAGTATAAATGAAAAACAGAGTAAATTACAATATGCATCATAAAGTACCAGCTTCATATTATAACAGTATTGGCCAATACTGCCAGGTGTTGGGATAAAAACTGTAAAGGAAAGATGCTCTGTTCAATTTATAATTGCCTCTCTGTGGGAAACACTCATTGCTTGAGATTTCTTCGAACTAATCCTATGTAGAGCAATCCTTTCTCCCATCCATAGGTGATGTCCCTAGGCTTTGCCAAAGAAACTCTTCTTATCCTATTGTAGCAGGGAGGAAAACTAAGGTGACGCGACCTCTTCTAAAGCTTGAGGAAAACGGTGAGGGAGGATGAAAAGCAAAAGGATTTTACATCAGTGGCAGTCTTGGTTCTGAGATTTCAAGTCTGCAATGCTGCCAGCTTCTTGCCTGGAGGGTCCCAGTATCTGGGAAGGTGGAAGGCAGCTGCCTGGCTCCACTGCCCTGGCGTTGAGACTGGCTGCACCTGACCAAGAGGTTGCACATAAGCACTCCTCCTTGTCCTTTCCTTGCTACCATCAGTGACAGGGCTGGGGGGATGTCACTCGTGAGCACCAGGGCACAAGGCAGAGGATGCCACTCTCCCTGTGCGCTGAGCCACCTCCTCCCGGCACTCGAGGGGCTCAGTAAAATAATACAGAGAAACTGGAGCTGTTTCCCCCCCTGCCTTAGATGTGTGGCTCAGACTCTGAGCTGTCTTTGGAGCTGTGTCTGCGACACGTTGCGCTTCAACTAATTCCATAACATAAACCTCGGAAAGCCTTTCTAACTTGGAAGCAGCAGCGTGCAAATGTGCCCATTCTAGGCTGTCACTGCTAATGAAGTCTTCCTGGGCGGCTTGCTTTTTAGAAACCCTCCTGCTTAGACATTTGCAAGATGAAAAAATTCTTCCATATCATGCTTCATTCTATAGTGTAGGGATATGCTAAATATGTCATGGTGAAATGACAGCACTGAACAATCAGAGGGTAATATACTGTACCTTAACTTCCCCATTCATTGTCTGCAGTAGGGAGTCTGACACTTAATTAGTGCAAAACCCACCAGTCTGGTTAGCCTGTGGTCACCCCTACTGCTAATATCACTTCAGCTGATCAGGCTTTAGTCACGGGGAGATATTATATTTACAACTATTTATTCATTACTAAACTTCAACTTCCTAGAAATTCAAAGTAGCAACTGCTTACAAAGGTCCCTCGTACCTGTACAGGACAACCTGTTCCTCTGAGAAAAAAAAAGATGATGTCATCTATTCTACATTGCATGTTAAAAAATGAGGGGATTTAGGTTGTAGTATCTTCTCCTGGGCATGTTATTCAGGATTTCTAAATTCAAGCAGGCCTTGTTCTTAGTGAAAGGAAACAGACCCTCAAATTAGCAGTAGGTTTGGATTGTGTTTTTGGTAAGTGGCACAAAACACTGTTTATTCCCATGCCCCCATTACTCCAGACTTGGTGGTGCTTCAGCTGTGCCTGTTGCTGACTGATATCTATTGGCATCACTTAATTATTTTTACAGTGCAGACATGACTAAATGTGTGTTAAAAAGCAAGCAGGGACAGTGACACCGAGCAACAGGAGTGATTTCTGCTCAAAGCAAAAGAGTATGAAAGCTGGGAAGTGAGGGAGAGTATTATAGACTCTAAAACAATGTAACCTATCCATTCCTATTGGAAATGGGAAAAAAAAAATAAAAATCTGACTTTCAAGATATTTTGTAATGTCTCTGTATAAGAACTTAATAGCTTAACAACATGATGGGCATTTCATGAAATGTGCAGACTTAGGCTGACAACCCAAACCTTTCTCAGACAACTATTTCCTAGGGAAATATCCTTCCATCAAAAAAGTCTGTAGCTGTCAACACACCCTGCAGAAGATAGACATGGAAGACAGGGACTGGGAATTATGGAGGAGCACATCTTTACTAATGAGAAAGTTCTCCATTCTAGAATCTTATTTGATTTTGAAATGCTGCAGCTGGGAAAACATGGTTGCTTGTAGTTCTGTTACCCCCCTGCCCCCCTCCCCTACATTTTCATGAATGCAAAATAATAAGTGCAAACCAATTTAAAGAACATTTCATTTCCTTTCTAAAATCACCAAGTGTAGTAAAATATATTTTTCTTGCTTATCCTCAAAAGGGCCCTATGCTTAATTGATACTACAGTCTGCTGAAGCATGTAGGACTAGGCACTAGTTCCAGACCATCACGGTGCTGCTGTGAGCTTTTTTTGTTAATTCACATTGTTGGTTCTCTGTGGTTACTTGTAGCAACTGCATAGAGAGACATGGCATGGTTGTTCCTTACCAGCTCATTGCTGCCATCCTCATCAAAATCCTCCTCTATCCCATCAGTCATCTCTTCTCCATCCCCATCTGCATCTGGCCCTCCTTCAATTGGCTCTTCTGTAGAGTTATCTGCATTCTCTGATATGCATTCCTCTTGGATCAAATCAGCATTATCTTCCATTTGTTTCTTTTGAGCTTCTGTAAGGAAAACATACTCTATAGAGATCCAGTAGCCTTCCCTATTGGTGGCATAGAAAAGTGCTCTGAGGAAGAAACCTAAGTTTCCCATCTCCAGATGAGCTAGCTTTGTAAAAATCAGAGTGTTAGTACCTACTAGGCAAATATTGTTTTCAAAGATCAATGCATAAATCAAGCATAGTATCAACATGCTCATCTATCCCATGCAGTGGATGAAGGCTTGATTTACCAGAACGTCCAACTTCTTGATTTTCTGAACTTTGCTTTGCCTTGGTAATCCAATTGGCATAGTCACCATATATTTATCTGCAGCCAAGGGGAAGTACCTAAATCTCTATACTCTGAGAAGCGGAAGGCTGTTAATTGCCAATAAGTGAACAAGGATTTGCATAAGTTTGCTGTGAATATAGCCCAACAACCATACAGATAATCAACGAATCCTTCTAGACAACTTTTTATGGAATAAACTAACAGTTTCTCCCTGTTGGCATAATGTGCTGAGCTAACTGGAGAATACCCTCCTCCAATTAGCCAGATATAGTATTTCCTATAATTTCCACAAAGTGGTGAAAAGTAAGAGCATTTCCATGGAGGCCCAGAGGATCTGTTCTGGTTGGCTTAGTGCAGATAACTGCATTGTTGTGATTATGTATCGCAAGACTCCTGGATATGCTGAGGAATTTCATCAGGCCAGCAGAAATCCAGAGGAGGACTGAGGGAGGAATGACAGAGACAGACTGGCCAGACGAGCGGTTGGAGGGATGCAAGTCTTATTCCTCTGCATATCAGGAGTTCAGATGGAAAGCTTTGTGTACTGAAAGTGAATATGGGCCCGAGATTTGGTTGCGTGTAGCTGGTGTACAAATGTGTTTTCAGTCTGATGGTGACAATACCCATCAGTGATCAAATTTCCAGAACAAACCCATTTTTTTCTTTGTTAGATTGACTGTTCTATAACACTAGTAGGGCATGACCTATCTTGTTGGACAGCCAATGAATCTGCAGATTGCCTGTGAAGCTCAATATTTTTCAGCTCTATGAATATATTATTATTTTACTATAAATTATTACCAGTTGCATATAATATTAAGATCTGTTCATATTTTTTTGAATCATAGCCTTAAACCAGACATCTGTATTTCCTTCTACCTCTGCACATTTATTTTGCAACTTACTTTAATCTCTTCAGTCTTTGTTAGTCTCTACTCTCTCATTTTCAAATTCATTTGCTCGAGACATAGAACAATTAAGATTTTCTCCCTTAGTCACTTAATTTCTTCAGAAATATTCTTGGACTTAAAAAATGAAAAATGGTAAGATGCTCTATACAATACCATGCTAGTTACAATTCATTGTGTTGCTTACTGTGCAAGGAAATGTGGACTGAGTCAGTTATGCCAACTATGTCCTGTCCCACCACCTTCTGCCTCCAACCACTTCTGAGATTAACTCACCCGTGGCAGTGAAAACTGAATCAACTTCGGTCAAGGCTTTCAAAAACAGTTCCTGAAATGACGGACTTAATACATTGAAATGGGAAAATTTAGGATACAGCTGCTAAAAAATTAGGTGACTTGTTTAATTGTCTGAATAAGAGTGTAATCTGGGTTCTTCAGGGGAGTCTAAAGTACTAGCTCAACATTTGACTCTTTTGTGCTCTTCTGAGAAGCTAAACTTAAGATCTTACTTTTCAGCACCCATCTCTCCTATTACAGGGAGAATATTCTCCTCTAACAGTTTCCCCACATCAGAACAGCTTCTTATCCCTACCTTCCTGATTCAGATTTTTATAAACAAAGGAGCTATTCCTGCAATTTTCCCTATGTACAGGAAATCTTCATATCTATATTCCCCACATGGAAGTGCTCAGGGGTTGATAACAGTAAAAGACAGAACATCAGCTGTTGCTGCAAGGAGTTTTCACACAGGTATAGAGCAGTAACCAATGTCTGTACTGAGCTTGTCCAGCTGGTCTGTTTAACCTACGATGTTCCTCCAGGTGTATAACTTTCAAGATTAATAATTAAGTGTTTTTTGTGAGAGTGGTGCAAATTGAAAAAGGGCAAGATGATGGCTTGATTTTTGTTTTGTGTCAACGAGATATTGATCCTCTCTCTGATCCCAGCTTTAGTGAGGCCACATGTCCTGGCAGAGGAAAGCAAGAAATAATATTGCCAAACCATAGAGAAGGAACAAAATCATCTCACATCTGATACCATAAATGAAATAGTTCAGTACTGATGTAGCTTTATCTTACACAAATCTTTTAGCTGAGGAAGCAATCATCTGCAGACTAATCACTCAGGCTGCATGACCCTCTTCATCAGCTCAGGAGAATTAAATGGGGATCCAGGTTTACTGGTATCTCTGAGGTGTTTTTTCTCCCCACACCCACCGACTAGAGCCAAGGAATATGAGGGATGGGTTTTGCACCTGGTGTTTTAAAACATCGATAATTTGAAACCAGTTTTTCATCTCTGAGGATATTATTCACTGCTTGTCTTCAAAAGGCATAACAGTATGATTCAATACAAATCTATGTTTTCCTCTTTAAGCTGATTTTTTATTTAAATGAGCTCACTACAGTCCTTTAGCAGAAGTGAAAGTTGGATAGCAAAGTACAATGACATGCAGGTTGTTTTGCATAGAAATGTATTGTATATAAAAGCTCCCTGAAGTAGTGATTCGCCATCTCAGAGCATTTCAGTGCACAAGTGATTCAATGGAACGCCTTGCAATTACACCTTCACTGATTTTACCAACTTTTGTCTAACTTGAATAAAGTACAAAATAGAATCTAATGGATACATATTGTGTGCAGTTCTCCTGAAAGAGATAATCACACTTTCTACTAATGGTTTACCTTAGGCATTGAAAAAAAACACTCAACTTATTTTGGGGTCTGTTAACTTAGAAAATGATTGTAAATAAAAGGTAGGTTTTTTTAAAGAGCTGCTGGTGGTTTTTTGCTGTTGCTTTTTTTTTTCTTTTTAAATTGTTATCCATAAAATATTTTTCTGTAGTGTTCTGCCCTAGGAAGACTTTTGTTAGAGTTATTTCTGAATGCCAGCATGAAACTTCTGGGTTCAGAGAGATACCCCCTCAGCAGATCAGCAAACAGAGCAGGCACTTAGGAATAGGAGAGATCCAGGTCTAAATATCTTTTTTGCCTATGTTAGGTTCATGAACCTCAACTGCTAATTCCTACCAATGTTTCAGATAATCTTGATGGAGCTCACGTTACGTGTCCTGTTGGGTCTTTTTGGCTTCACTGATTTGAGTTAGGCAAGAGACACAAATCTGAGTGCTCAGGCACCCAGGCAGCTGTGAGTTCTAAGACAGAATTTCTTTCACACATTTCGCCCAAAATATCTTAGAAGTTTTCATCAGAGAATGAAGAGGGGAGGTTGGGGGAAGTAACACTGAGATTTTGCATGAGATAAGGCTTCCATTTCCCTGCTGGCTGTCATCAAAATCAGCTCGCTAGTACACAGCTCCCGCACAGAAATATACCGTGTGATTTATAAGGAAATACCCAAGGAAATACCATAAACAGTGGTAGGAACTGAGATTGTTTTCTATATATACTGCGGTGAAAATACAACTTTATAAATCCCTTATAACTGCTCAGCACGGCTTTAAACTGCTGTCGGGTGAGATCATTTAGCTAACAAAATGATCTCTGCAATGACAGAAATAAAGATCTTGACGAAATTAAAAAGTGGTGTTGGATTTTGTCATTCCCAAAGTTTGCCTCAAGACAAAACATTTCAAGCCAGAGAAAAGCTGAACTAGAGGTGCGGCCAAAGGTGACCCAGCTTCACACAGTAGCTCAGGTTGGAAGGGATCTCTGGACTCTCCAAGTCCAACCCCTCTTCAAAGCAGAGCCAAACTCAGCTTGGTCCAGGTCCATGGGACCTTGGCCCAATGAGTTTTGAATGTCTCCAAGGATGGAGCTACTGCAGTTTCTCTAGGCAACCCGCTATACAGTTTTGTTGCATCTCTTTTCCTTATATCAGACAGCAATTTCCCTTGCTGCAACTTGGGACTATTGCCTATTGCCCAGGTAATAATTCCTGATATAGAGCATCTAATAATTCTTCATGTGGATAGTACAGGCATGCCCAAGGTCAACCAACTCTAACTTAATCCTCTTCAGTCAATTTTTTAGTGATGTTTTGTTTCCAGAACTTCTACTAAGAATCTTTTATTATCTTGAAATGATGTTGCATGCTCTGAGAAGAATATTAATTTATCCTCCCAATAGCTCTACCTGAGACCTAATTTACCTTGTTTAGGCCTCCATTATGTAGCAAAATTTCTGGAAAGCTTCAGTTCTCACTAATCTGTCTGCTTGACTGATAGCTAGGTTGTAATTTAATTCATTTGACTACAAATTGCTTTTACCTACCTGCTTCAGCTTTTTGCTGCTTTTCAATCTTTTCCAGTCTCCCTAGCAAGGAGTCAATTTTTGTTTTGATTTGGGTTAATTCCTTCTTGATTGTTTGCAACTCATCTGATTTCACTGTGGAAAGAGAGCAAAGATGCAGAACATGAAATAAACTATATTTGCAGCCCCCCATGAAAAAAACATGTTCTATTTTCTTTCCTCTGTAGTACAAAGTCTACCATCTCATTTCTTTCAGTATCTTTAGAGATTTAACTTTTAAAAAGAACATTGATATTTAAAAATGCTGAATCCATGCTAGGAAATCACAGGATTCTAAGCTCTAATGGCAAGAGGTTATGTGAGGTGTGTTGCTCTGTAATAAGCATCTTAGGCAAAACATCTCAAGGGCATTCTTAGTAAATCCAAGTAACTTTTACTGAAAAACAGCCTATAGTGAAAGAATGATTCAAATATGACAGACAGTTCACAGTCTTGCAATCCTATTTTGCTGGACTATTTTGTAATAATTGTTACAATAACGAAAAGTTCCCTCGTGGTAGCAGGAGGTATTTTTCAACAACAAGTGGTAACATAAATGCTAGGGCTGCCAGGAACACAATGTTAGGTTTCAGTCAACAACTTCATTGCAATAGGTGTTATTGCTTAAAAAGCTTTCAGTTCTGGTAATTTCTTGAACTTTTTCCAGCTATGGTTAACATATGAAAATATTTCTTTTTGTGATCATGTCCAGGGACATAAAGGCAACACCTCTAAATTAAGAACTGAAGTTTCCAAATCTTTGTTGCATTGCATTACTCTTCTTTTATGTTCTTTATTGCACTAACATAGTTTAATGTAAGAAGGAGTAGCTGCTTTGGAGGTGTTTTAGCTTCAGAAGAAACAGCACTACGACACTCATGAATGACCTCATTATTATGGCATTATCAGGACACGTTTTAATACTCAGAAGACAGTCCAAACAAATCCACTTGTCCTGTCTGTGCTAGGATATCATGTTGAAGAGCCCTTGAGGAGAAAATGGAAACCTTGTGCTATCATTGGAGAATAAAGTCATTTGTAAAGGACAAGAGTAAGTAACCCAGCTGTCTCTTATGGCTCTTGTAGGAAGAAATGAACCATCACCTTAAACTGTGAGGGACTGGCAATGGAAGAGCACTGAGCAATATTACTCCTCCATCCTTATCATTGCTGAAGGAGGATGTGCACTGACTTTGGTGTGCATATCCAGAGCAATGGGAGAACCCTTAGTGAGCCTGGAAAAAGGGTCTCTTGGCTGCATCTTGCCATATCAGTCCCATTCACTGACTCCTGGGCATGTGTCTCATCATGGTGTCTCATAGGTATTTTTTAATAGACAGTCAAAATCTGAGGACGAAGCGTGCAGGCAAGGTGCTGCCTGCTTCAGTGGCAGTAAATGAGTAAGGTTTTGCTTCAAAATCAGCTTTGTTGCAAACTTGCAGCATATTCACTGAGGTTGAAACCAAGGCTTTTTATCTTAGAGTTTAGGTCATGTGTATTGTAGTTATAAGAAGTCAGAAAGGCAGTAGGTTGCCATATGCAGTAATGAACATGTTTAATCATGTGCTCATATTGAGAAATTGCATATCTCACACTATCACAGGTGGCTGAAACCTCTGAACTCATCTTGAATGAATGGTAGGACTCAGAGAACAAAGCTTAAAGCATCTTTGTGCTAGACTCTTAAATGCTATACAGTATTTGATGGAATTATTCTGGATATTCATAAATCAAGGCCTTAAAATGTCCTTAGAGAAATAATGGGTCACTGTCCAATCCTCCAGATCTGTAACAAAATGTTAAGATTCTGACAACTGTATATTTAGAAGGTTACTGCTTCCTTGAGGGCAGTAGTTGGTCTGGGCTGGAGTAGCAAGGCAGCACAAATTCCAGGACAAAATGGTGTGAATCTGTCCAATGGGAAATGCTAAGTGTCTACAGCAACCCACTATGAAGCCAGCAGGCAACAGAAACTGTGCAGCCAAGCTGGTGGGTTAGAGGTGCTGCCTCGACTGGCAAACAGCAGGCTTGCCAAGGCTAAAAGGTCAGAAGTGACACCACAAGGACTTAATGATATTTTTCCCAGTCTAAAAAGCAAAGTAGAAAACATTTGCACTTCTGAATTTGGTGAGGAAAGAGGCACATACACATGGCTACTGTTCAACTCGGGTCAAACCTTCTTCTTCACAGGGGCTTCCCTGTGGTGTCTCAGTGAGAAAACAGTTTGGGAAGAAGACTGCACCAGAGGGAACACAGACACAACAGTGAAAATTCAACAGCATACAAAAATGTTAAAAACAACTGAGGAGCTTTATTGCTACCTTGTGGAATTCCCCTCTGCCAAAATTATTTCCTTAAGCTTTGGTCACTTAATCTGCAATTTATCATTCACATTTAATGCGATGATTCCATCGTACAGTCAATCACTACAAATTAGCACTAAAAAGGACTGAAAGAAAAAAGGGAAAAAATTTTCAACAAATCTACACAACAAATTCCAAATTTCCACTTTGGTTCCAACATTGCAATGGTGTGTGTATGTGAGTTGTTTGTTGCCTTGATTTGCAGGGAATTGTACAAATCTTCGAAATCATTCTCCTAGAGAAATTCCACTCTCAATTATATTGTACAGGGTATTTCCATAGGGAGCAGTGGTTCCTAAAGACAAATTATAAAGGGATCTGGTGAACAACAAGCAGAGTATGTTCCAGCAATGCACCCTTGTGATAAAGAAGCTCGTCAATATCCTGGGCTGCATTAAGAGGAGTTTTGCCAGCAATTTGAGGCAGATGGTCTTTCCCCTCTCCTCAGTACTCATGAAGTCCCATTTGGAATACTGTGTCCAGTTCTGGGCTCCCTGGTACAAGAAGAAATGAAGAAGACAAAGCTAGGTTCTTCTCAGTAGTGCCCACTAACACATCAAAGACCCTTGGCATCAATTAAAGCACATGAAATTTCATCTTAACATAAAAAAAAGATATACTTTTTTTTTTTTCTGCAGGGAGGGTAAAACACTTGCATAGGCAGCCCAGAGAGGCTGTGGAGTCTCCATCCTTGGAGGTATTCAAAAGCCATCTGGACACAGTCCTGGGAAGCCTGTGGCAGTTGGACCAGATGAGCTCCAGAGGTCCCTTTCAACATCAGACCTTCGGTGATTCTGTGATTCTGTGGTGGAGAGCTTGGGAATAACTTCAGGCTTTTAAGCACAGTGTTATGACAAAGACAAAATGTAGAGACTGTAAATACTGTACTTCAGGTGTCCTGCTTTAAGTATATAAATTGTCTTTTAAAACATCATGGCTTTTTTTTTTCTTTTAATTTTAACTTTGTTCTTATGCAAGAAATAAAGCAGTTGATAAGCATGAAAACAGAGCTGCGTCTGCCCAAAATATCTGTTCATCTGCTTTTGTGTAGTAGAATAGGAAAATAAAGTAGCTTACTGCTTTTATTTTTTCCTTTTAGCAGATAAGCAAAGGCCAGAAGGTGACAGAAATGCATGTATTGAAAGGGAAAGAAATTACTCATGAAATTCCTCAATCACTGATACCAAAATGGCTAAATATCTTCAACAATTTTTCATGCAAAATAAGTAAATAAACAGGTAAAATTTGCTGATGTCATGAAATCAGAAGGTATCCTCTATTCCGAGTGAATTGGAATGGAAGGAGCAGTCAGGTGATTTTCAGGAAAGCCACATTAGAAAAAAGATGAAATGCAATTGCACTGAAAAAAAAAGAAAGTCCTACACTTGATTGACTAACAGCAGAGCTCCTATTCTTAACATGGAAGCTCATCAGAGGAAAAAGAAAGTAACAGAATTATCCTTGGGTGTCGTTGCAATCTCAGGTTGACAATAGGCTATCACCATAATGCAGCCATGAGAAAGAAAATGCAGTGCCAGGATGTGTCAAATGATGTATTGCTAAACACGGGGAAGTACAATGCCATGTGGAATAATGTGTGCAGGTTGAATCACTGAATTCTAGCAGGTATGTAGGGAGAAGGGCCATGAGGATGACCATAAGAATGGAAAATCCGTAATGGGACAAGAGTTTTGCTTGTTTGCCTGGGACAAAAGGAGGTAAAAGAAAATAAAGCTTTTAAGCTAAGACAGTGTTGGCAAAGCAAATGGATATGAACAAATAAAAAACAAATTTAAGATAGAAAATAGAAGAAACAGAGAGACAAAACCCAAACCTTAACTACTTTGAGATAGAGCTTAAAGGATTAGATGATGGGGCTACTTGCAACAATAAGGAATTAGATTCAGTGACCCTTTCCAGCCCCAAGGAATACAAGGGCCTTTCAGAATATACCTTTCTTTGAAGCATCTACCACCAAAAGAGATAAACTGCATCCAGCTCAAAACAAGAGATTCAAAATTGAGGTCCATCACATTTTCAGAAAGGAACATGTTACAGTTCAATTACAGCTGTATTTGTGAAACATTTTTTGTCATAACTACAGATTGATTCATCCACAGAGTATGATTCAGATTTCTATGAAAAGAAATGTCATGTCTTTTTATCTAAGAGTTTCATGTTTAATATAAAATATTTTATCATGTTATATTACTTTAGATTTCACTGAAAAATAGGTGAGGAAGCTAAATATAAACTATATGAGTCAAAATGAATTAATTTAAAGGCATAATCCAGTACATATTATGACATTTTAAGTGTCTACTCCTTAATCTGAAGCACACAAGGTATAAAAGAATTTGATTAGTGTTTTCTTTCTGTTTTCAGGAGTGTAAAATAGAAGTGCATACTCCAAAGGCTTCAGCCTCTATATTGTTAGAAAAAGTGAGTTTTTCCAAGTTCTAAATTGCAATCTGCATCTGCTACTTCATATCATTAACATGAAGAACTGCTATGTGCAGTTTCCGTACCAACATGTTTCATTTTACGAGTTACTTCTGATAATGTGAAAACACTGATTTTTTTTTTTCCTAGTCTTTTGAGTTAAAAAGAAAATAAAATATTTTCAACCGATCCTTGAAAAATTATAGATCCAAGAAAGAAATCAAATCCTCCTAACTTATTTTGTGTTTTGGAAGCAAACTTAGAACACATATTGCCACTTTTTTTGGTTAAAAAAAAAAATTTACTGCCCTGACAGACATTATTTTTGCAGATGTACTTATCAACGAGCAAGGCATCCTTGGTATTATGTTTTTATAACATCTTTGCTGTGTGCGACAACAAACTTCTCTCTTTGGATTGCTGGTTTTCAGAAGTGACTCACTCTAATCCTGGTAATTTCGCTGAGGGGGTCTCCTGTGTTCTGATCTTTAATACTATATGGGTTCATTTTCTGGATCCAGTCTGAGTGTGGAGAACAGCTATGAGAACAGTTATGCCTATGGGATTTCTACCTAAATCTGAAAGTCTATTAAAGGGATGTGAACTCATGAGAGTTTCTTTATTTGGGGATGAAACCTTTCAAGCATAGGCAATACCATTTTGACATAGTTAATTCTGAACCTGCAGTTAAGCTGTTTTAAAGCCTTGAATTTCATTAAAATCCAAAATATCTTCCTTCCCACAAACTATGTTTCTACTTATTGAAGAGATCCTTTATTTAACTAGCAATAAATTAGAATTAGAATTAACAGTGCATTAGTTCAAGGGGTTCAGATTAGTACCGTAGAGTAAGGGGCAACAAAATACTAAATTGCTTCATCCCTCAATTCAATATAACCAATTTTTCCAAGAAAATGGCAAAAAAAAAGCTGAAAACCCCACATTCTCTACTTTCCAACCTGAAGGTCCTAAGGGAATGGCTTGGTTATTTCTCTGATAAACGTCTTACAATAAGCTGATTACGTTCCTGTCCAAGTCAACAAAATCATGTTTCTACCTCTATGATAGGTTGGTTGGACTTGACAAAAAGGGAAGTAATTCTATGGGGAAATCAAGCATGAAGGTCTGTATACTGTGTGTCTGACTCCTTTTAAAGGTGTGCTGCATGCAGAAAGAATATATTCTGCAATTTATTCTGGCATGATAAATAGTCTCTGCAGCTGTGCTCCAATTGCCATTGTAAAGAACTAGGTGTGGAAACCCAAAAGGGGTCAAAACATCAGCCCACATTTTAGTGTTACATCTTGCAGCTGCCCCTTCAGTGTTAAAGGGCTGGATCTTGTCACCTGGAGCTTTAAGTCTAACATTTTTAGAATTCACATTACACCCAAGTATATTGAAGGATACTTTCACCAGGGCATAACACTGTCTGTTAGGATCTCTACACTCCTGGTTGTACTTCCGTTAAATAATGTATAGGTTCTGCAACATTTACCATGTTATGCAGACAGTATTTTGGACATCTTATAGCAAGTGGTTATGAGTACTTGGACTAGGGTTGAATCCTATAATCTACACAGAATCACAGAAGCACAGAATGGTAGAGGTTGGAAGGGTTGTCTACACATTGTCTAGTTCAACCCCTTTGCTAAAGCAGGTTCACCTAGAGCAGGTTGAACAGGACTGCATCCAGGTGGGTACTGAATATCTCCAGAGAAGGAGACTCCACAACCTCTCTGGGCAGCCTCTTCCAGTGCTCTGCCACCCTCAAAGTAAAGAAGTTTTTTCTCATGTTGGGACAGCACTTCCTGTGTTCCAGCTTGTGTCTGTAGCCCCTTGTCCTCTCACCAGGCATGGCTGAGAAGTGCCTGATCCCATCTTCTTGGCACCAGCCCTTTAGATATTTCTAAGCATTAATAAAATCCTCTTTCATTTTTCTCTTCTCCAGGCTAAACAGACCCAGGTCTTTCAGCCTTTCCTCATAAAAAAGGTGCTCCAGTCTCCTGATGATCTTAGTAACCCTCTGTTGGACTGTAGTAATAGTAGTTCCTTATCTTTCTTGAACTGCGGGGGGCGGGAATGGGGCAGAACTGGACACAGTGCTCACCAGGACCTCACCAGGGCAGAGTAGAGGGGGAGGATGACCTCCCTCGACCTGCTTGCCACACTTGCCCCAGGAGACCATTGGCCTTCTTGACCACAAAGGCACATTGCTGGCTCATGGTCAACTTGTCCAAGAGGATTCCCAATTCCTTCTCTGCAGAGCTGCTTCCCAGCAGGTCAACCCTTAATCTGTACTGGTGCAGGGGGTTATTCCTCCTCAGGTGCAGGACCCTACACTTGCCCTTGTTGAACTTCATTAGATTCCTCTCTGCCCAACTCTCCAGCCTGTCCAGGTCTCGCTGTACAGTGGCACAGCCTTTGGTGTGTCAGACGCTCCTCCCAGTTTTGTGTCATCAGCAAACTTGCTGAGGGTACACTTTGTCCAGGTCTTACATTATGCGTTACTTAAGTCCTGACATGATATTACAAAACATTTTCTGAAATGCAGAATAAATAATAAAACAAATTTTGTGATTAATCTGAGGAACAGATATCTATATATTAATGTAATATGCTCTGTCCCACTCACTACAATGAAAACACAGATTTCTGGGTGAGAGATTTCCTTGACATCTATTGGGATATGCTAAGGTCCTCAGGTCTCTAGAAGAATGTTAGAGTTATCCTTGTTCTGGACAACAAAAGATACATAAACCTATCTGCAAATAATGCATCTTCTCAAAGGCAAAGTGAGTCCAAGAAGTACATTCTTATTTCATCACGCTTTAGGAAAATTAGTGAATTGAATCCATAGATACTGCTAAATTTTCATATGGATAAGACAGCAGTAAAGGAGGAACAAAGGAGATCTAATGAATGAATCTGTAAATGTATGTATTTACTATAGCTTTGATTCACTGTGTGAAAACCCAAAGACTCAAGGGCTGGAAAAGACCAAAAAAATACTTTAAAATCTAGATCTACTGAAGTGAAGATCACGAGCTGTACAGCCAACAGAACCTGTCTTTTTCAGAATGTCATCCTTTCCAAGGAATGGCTTGAGCTCCTTGTTCATCAGTGTACAAAATTATCTTTAGCTCTGTTTATAACATTTCTATTCTTTCATTTACATGCATATTTATTACATGTTTTCTTTCAAGGTCTCTGATACCATCAGTTCATACAATAGGATCCTAATCAGCTCCCTAGAGGTCCATCGTCTTTGTTAGATTCTACTGTGTGAGATTTGGATATGCTATTCAAGAAGAGTATATAATTGGCTCATGTTGATGCCATGATTTAGCCCTCTTGCAGTAAGATATACTGTTGGTGGATTCACTTATTTCATGGTTGTGTGTAGGACAGCATGATGCTTGGTTGGCCGGTCTGGTACTTCAAGTGTCTTATTGAAGTCCCTTCATTCTTTCTAATATCTGATCCCTACCTGATCTTTCTCTTCCTCTTCCAGTGACGCTTCCAAGGACAGTATCACTCCACATAAGGGGCAGGGGAAGACAGGTGGGTGCTGAAAGATGCACGAAGAGGAAGATGAAGTTCTCAGGACATATTATGGGGTGGGGAGCTTGGTGAACATGGAGGAAAGAATGCTTACTGTTCATCAATTCTTCTAAGGTCAACTCCCTAAAGAAGGGTTGAATAGCCCCAAATTGCCAATCCTGTTTTGGACTCCCTTTAGAACAGGCAAAGACACCGTTCCTCTTTCTACCTTCAGAGGGGTCTGGCAAAAAAAACCCCACACACAACCCAACCTCCCTCAGCCCCCTCCAGCCCACACTCTCCCTCCTCCCCAGCTCACATATAACCCTCAAGTCTCTACAGAAATCAGTGTGCCTCTGTCTATAACAAGATTATTAGCTTTGCTTTATTATCAGCTCTTCACAAGACCTCATGGTGCATAAGGAGTCAAGATGATAGGTGATTTTAAATAGACTTCTGAGGCTAAGGGAGCAGGTCAAATGTTGTTGAAGGGATTTCCTTCAAAAATGGCACCAATGTGCTCTTTGACTTGCAGGAAAGGCATGGCAGATTTGGTAATCAAACCAGTTTTTCAGCCTAAAGGCTGAGGGTGGGAAATGGCTGCAACAGAGTTATATAGTGGATGCTGTCTGCTTGCAGGAATTACTAGGATCAATGTTTCAATAATATCCAACTGTTATGAGCAACTCACATTTGGATCCTGAGGAAGAAGCCCCGCTTGAGGTGGATCGTGATGCTCCTTTCATGGAGAACACCCCTTTGCCTCTGCGAGTTGTTGTCACAGCCACACGAGGACGCTTCAGTGGAATCACTGCACGGGGTGGTGGGGGGACACGGCCATGGTAATCAAACAACCTAGAAAAGATTAAGTCAGCTGGACTCCATAAAACCTTCCGTGATTTCATGTCATGCAAGCCCTGTCAACTAAATTTTCATGTTATCTTTGAGAAAATTACCCTTTGAAACCATAATCACTTTATATCACAGTCAAATTAGATTTCAAGGACCTATGCACATTAAGTGCCATATTCAGATTTCAGTCACAGACCACTGCATAGCTCAGATTTTTTGCGTAATTTAAATGAGGGATGCATTATGAGACTCTATTATTCGCAGTGTGGAAAATCCATAACCTGCTTTCCACAGGTCCACACCATTCCATTGCAAACAACTAACAGCAGTACATTTTGTTGTGGTGACATTTCAGCTCCTTTATTATATGCATGGCTTAAATTCTAGTTTTCTATCTGCTGTCCTTAAAGACAGAAAAAGAAATGAACTTTCCTGAAGCCAACCGTCACCATAAAGCAATATCCTGCGGTTTGTAAAATAGCAAAAGAGTCCTCATAGTGAGGGACCTATATGTCTTTCTGAATGCATAGAAAAGAGATCCTGGCATATGTTTTCTTTATTGAAGAATGAATTGATGTAGAATCACTAAAACACCCAAGCATGCTTAATAAAAAATAAAAAAAAAGTGTTGTTCAAACGAAAACCACAGTAGCAAGTACATATTCAGAGAATTACCACTACAGTCAAGAAAATATGCTCTACAAGTGAAATGAACTAGTGTTCCCAAGTAGAATACCCCAAACATAAAACCACAGTTATCAAGAGCAGCTAACTAATCCGCATAGAAGAAAATAAAGGCAGTAGAAAAGGAAACCAAAGCTACAGACATATTTAGAGTATAAAAACTATAGGCTCTGAAAACGACAGGTCAGGAGAATAAAGTTCAAAAAATGAAGATTACCAGTTCAGAGACTGAAGCAGAGGGACAAGCAATATTCTCATAAATTATTCTCAAGTTTCTTTCGAATGATACTTGCAACTAGTAATTATGGAAATTTATAACTGCATGTTTAGTTTTCGCAATTCTGACTGCAGTCACCCATCTGGGCAGACAGACACACATTCAAAACCAGACACACAATAGTAATTCACTCACCACAACGCCTAACAGCATGCTGAACAGAAAGCAGAATCAGACTTAAGGCTTCTAACCCATTTTCTGGCAAGTAAACACCTAATGCTTAAATTCCAGGATCCTTACTGTTGTCTGTACCGTAGTCCTATGGACAATATAAGCAGCTCCCTCCTCTTCCATAGCTGCCTACAAAATATGCCACAGAGACCCCCACTGAACCTGAACTCCGTGGCCTTAGATATTCTTCCTGAATAAGCAGTTTCTAGCCACTGTGAGCATAACTGAACAACTGTGCATGAAGATGAACACTAAAACATTTTTGGAACTTTTAACAGAAATATTATTGTTTGTTGTCACTCGTTTATCATATTGGATGATCTGCAGGTTGCTCACCGTCTCCCATTTGATGTTACTAGGAAAAAATGTTTCAGAAGAACTGTAAGCTATAATGCGAAAGGTCATTATGCAATTATTCCTCCAAAGGTGATTTTTTTCTGGCTTGCCATAGTTCATGTTTAGATAACGTAGTGAAATGCAAAACTACACTTCCTTTTTTGAAATATATAAAAGGACTGTTATCTAATATTACTACTCTTACTTTTATGTTTGAAATTATGCAAAGCTTGTGGGCTTGTGGGTATTTTGTTGCACCATGTTCTACATATTTCAATGATACGCTTTCTTTAAAAAAATGCTTCCTTTTATCAGCTTTGTAATACCCTGCCTGCTTTCCTTGAGATTGTTATATGAGAAATTATAGACAGAAATGCTCACTTCTAAAGCAATTCTGTGTCCAAATAATTACTCGTGCATATATCAGTACCTTTTCTTTCACTCACCCTTCTAAATTCTGCAGTCCTAATCTTTTCAATCTGTCTTCAAACAATTTTTTTTAAAGCACTAGCTATTTTTGCCACCCTTTTCTGACCCCACCACTACTTTAGTCAAGATAAGATAGGTATATTCTCCCTTTGGGGTGGTTGGAAGATTAAGGAATATTAGAAAACAGGACTTAGGGTTTGGGATTTAACACAAAAATTCAGAAAGTTCAGAAGTTCAGAAATTCAAAGAATTATGATGATAATTATGACTATATTTCTTAATTTGTATTTACTATAGGCATGTTGATAGTATATCAAACTCTCCATGGGATTTTCTTTTTCATGCCTACTATATAGAGCTTTTCATCTTCCACTTCCATTAACTTCAACCTGACACAAACCCATAACATTTTAAGGTTTTTATCGTCAACAGATCAACATGTCCAGCTTTGGGAAGCCAACCTCATATTTGGTTTTTCTACCATGGAAGTTCTGCCGTCTAAATCCTGAAAGATTTCTAAATCAGAAAATTATACTATTGAATAGATTTATGGACACATTTCACTGTCAGTGGTTTTCTGAAATAAGACAATAACCAAGATAGACAACAAATTCCACAGAAATAACCTTTAACATACCATAAGTATTGTGGAAATGCAACCATTATAGTTGTCCATTTGTGCACCCATAATATACAGAATTAGGGAAAAAATTAAAGACATGTAACTTTAATATTCATGTGGCATAGATCAGAAACAGTACTCTGTTTAAAAACATACAAATCTACTGGTGAAATTTGGAGCACTAAATCTTGAGGAAAGTTAACTTTTACCAGGACACGAGCTACTCCTACTGTCAAGGCTGGAGTGAGCAGGATTAAAATGCATTGATGGCTTTTACTCCATATTTTCATAGCTCAGTCTTTTTAGCTCTGTGCAAAGCGAACAATTGTCATTTTCATGCACAACTAGAACTAATGTCTTGAACTGAATCAACTGAATCAACATTGTTTCTACATTTCTCCTGCAGTGTAGCAGAAAGGTACATAGCACATGACAACTTCAGGGTGCAGACCTCTCCCCTGCTATTGTCCATTGCTTTACCTAAAAGAAATCTCAGATTATAAGAAGTTGATGGAGCAATGCTTTGCTCCCCTCTGACTCACTTGGCCTATGTTATACCAGGCTGCTGTGATGCAGAGCCACAGCACTGCTGGATCAGCGTTGGAATTAGCTACCAATGGTCATCCAGGACAACCCTGTGTTGTGGTGATTCTGCTATATCTGAATGAATAAATTCCCACAGTGCTGAGCGAGGCTGTGCGTACGTACTGAAGGCACAAGTCTCCAATTGCTCAGGTATCCACGCTTTTTTTCCTCCTATAGAAACACACTTGCTGTTCAACTTGTGGTTTTGCTTCCCTCAAGGTCCTTCTAGGCTTCTATATGTTCTTGGAAGACCCATTTTCCAGGAGACATTCTATATCTTTTCATACACATGGATGAAAAGACAAAGACGTGAAGACATGAATGTCATACTGAAGAATTTTACAGCTGCTGTATGTTCTAGTGAAAGTAAGCCTGGAATAACTCTGTTGGAAGAAACACTGAGCAATTAAACTACAGGAAACTGTTCAGCACAGAAAACACCCCAGAAGCTCTTAGAGAAGGATAAGACCAAAAGAGCTGTTTAATGAGCAAAGATTTGGTGGTGGTAATCTTCTCTGTTTGTGATATATTCAGATAAGTCTTCTCCCGATACACAATAGAAATAATGAAATGAATAATATGTACAATCAGAGCTGGACCTGTCCAACCAAATGTTATGATTACATTATAAACAAACAGTAGAAATGGCATAGAATGTACAAAAATATAACCACACATACCGGTTGTAGAAATCATCTCTGTAGTAATCATAATCAAAGACATAACCACTGTGGAAAAAAAAAAAAACAACAACACAGAAAAAGAAGAATGAACATGTTAATAGAAAAATAGACATTGATTAAAACTTTTTGTGGTAATATTGGCTTACTCTCACATTCCAAGACCTGCTTCAAACTCCTTCCACTTCTTTTTCCACAACCACACATTGTACATTATGTTTGTCAATGCTGTTGTCAGCTATCACTGTAGTATATTTGGAAATGTGGAGTCTGGGGCATGTAGAACAGTGTAAACAGTTGACAGCATATCTAGAAATGATTTAACACCGCAGGACAGTTCTGTAATTAGAGCATCATTATAAGGTAATTCTCTGAGTGATCAAATGAACTGAAGCTCTCTTCTTTGCTGGGCTAACAGCATAATCAGTGGACTAGGAAGACTGTTAAATACATGAAAGATTGGCGAGTGAGTGAGTAGGTGAGCAGAGTTCATTGTCATAAGACAATGAATTTGATTTATGAGAAACATGAAAAGCGTTGGAGTGTTGGTCCTTGAGTTTGCCAAATCTTCTTTCATCATAAAGCGAAAAGGAAAAAAGTTAGGAAAATAGTGATGCAAGCGATAGTTTTACTGAGACACCTTTCTTCTCAAGTTCAGAAGGGAATGTGCATACCAATCTGGGAAAAGACGGGCACCATTAAGGGAAACAAACACAGGTAGGAAATTGTAAAGGTCCAAAGGAAAACGGTTTTTGAGCTATCGATTGCAAAGTCGGTCTTAGATTGATCTTCCTAGCTTTGCATTCCATTAGCAACTTTATACCTTTAAGGTGAAACAATAGCAGTGAAGTCTATCTACCTCACACATCTGAAATAAACAAAGAGCTAATAAATAGTCTGCAAGGAAAGGTCACAAAGGATTTGTACTCTGCCTGATGAAAGGCTAGTAACACAAACCCTAAGTTTTCCACTTGCCTGAGAAGGACAATTCTGAACAGTAAAGGATGAGAGACATGAAGAAAGTACCACAGAAAAGGAGAAAAGGAGATTTAAATAAGAAAGGAGAAAGGTAGAAAGGAGAGAGTTAGAAAGGACAAAGCACAGAAGAAAACATTCACTGAAAATAATAGATGAATGATGGTAGCTACATATTAATGAGATTTGTCTTCAAAGGGAATGGATTTGTAGATAATTTCTGCTCTTGAACTTTGAGAAAAATGTCTTCAATTTTTTTGTAGTGGTTAATTTGAAGAATGGGTCAAGAATTCTGGAGTTTTTTTGGGTTTCTTTTTCCTCATCACATAATGCCTCTTTCCCTTTTTCTTCCCTTTGCTATGTTTCAGAGATTGACCACTTAAAATAGGAAAAAATGAAGTTGGCAGGTTTAAATTACCTCATAATAATTCCATCCCTGTGTTTTAATTTTGAAGGCTTGCAATATCCCCTGTCTGCAACTGGCAAAAACACCCATCAAAGGAGCAGGAGGTCAGGGGAAAATTTCCACCTCTGCCACATCTGCCTTGATGCAAATGCCCAAGTGCAAGCGATAGGTAAGAAAGCCAATTGTAGTCCTGTTGGTAATTTATTTGATGAAAGAAAGCCCTATGTGCATTTTATGTGGAACACATTAAATAAAACAGCCCTGAGAGGCTGGAATGCAGAAGTAGGTAAGCTGTGTGTGGTAGAGGAAGCAAAATAACATTAAGTAATAGTAGTTAGACTTTGTGTAGGGATCATGTTTCTATATCTGGATCGTGTTTCTATATCTTACCTTAACACATAAGTAACAAAATTTTCCCTAAACTTATTTTGCCTTTCACTCTATAGCCAGTCTACATGGAACTAAGAGGTAGCATTTTATTTACAACTATTCACAGTTTGCTAGTGGTTTTGTTTCGTTGAATGATTAACAGCTGCAATAAGCTCACTTAATATTCAATTTGCTTTTTTAAGTAGAAGATAACAGACAATTTGAAGCAAAAAGATTAAAATTAAAAAGCCTGTCACATAAAACCTTTCACCTGGAGTGATATTACTTTAATTTGCATAGAGACCAGATAAATTGTTTTTCAAGGTTGAAGACCATGGCACTGATGAAAAATAATTCATTTTGCACCAGCCAGAGTAAGACTGAAGGGCAGCTCTATCTTTCTGTGGCAACTTAACTCTGGTCCACAAGATGCAAATAAGGACTGCTGGTCCCTCCCTGAGCTTTCAGAGTGTGGCACTTTCCATATACAAATACCATGACAGAGGTGGCTTAAAGCCATCCCTGGGAATGGGGGCACTGATAGGGCACAGGAGGGAGAGAGGTCTGAGTGCACTGGGGAAAAATGTCAGTAGGCTTGAGAGAGGGTTGAGTGGTTGAGAAAGGCTCACAGGTTGCTCAGATGAGGGTAGTTGTAGGCAGTGGAGGTTTTGGGTAGGGAAAAGGCAGGAAAGAGTTTCTGGTGTGGCAACTAATTCTTTCTCTCCTTCCCTGCCTTATGCTCTCGCACTGTCACTGTACCACTGAGGAGATCCTCTCAAATAGCATTCTTCATGCAGAATATTTTTATATTGTTGAAAAATGTGGTTTATCTTTTTTTAATATTATTATTATTATTTTAATTTAGTGTGCCATCTGGGGTAATACTTCCCTTTTGAGAGGAACAGTTTTGCACATCAGTCAGCCCCTAAGAATTTCATTCTTTGCTCTGTTCCCATTGAGGTAACTTCTGTCTTGAAACTGAACTCAAGTTCTTTATGCTCCTTCAGCTTTGCAAATCACAGTTTCAGTCTGGATGGTCTAATGCTTATCTGTGGGACCAGAGCAGGAAAAAGTAGAAGCGCATTTTGGTGTCTGGTTATCACATGGCAGTGTAATCTATGAATTCTTGTAAACTCTTATGGGGTGCTTGTCCTACTTTTCACAAACATTTCATTACTTCAGAAACATCTGATACTGCTATCATGTCTTTAATTTTCACCTGGAGAAACCCCATCAGTTTTCATATAGTCTTTTACAGCTGAAGCTATAAAACAGCTCTGGTACAGATGTTACCTCTAATCTTAAAGTTAAGATGCTTTGCACTTTTGCATGGTTTAGTTCAGTAACATCTGCTGCTGCTGAGGTAAGATGTAACTGCAGGCATTGAAACCGCTCAAAAGGAAGCAGTCTTCCAGAAATAAGGAGTTAAAATGTAAGCTGGGTTCCTTCTTTGAATCCCCTATCTCCTAACAAGGTCGACAACACTGTTTTGCTGCTTCAAGACATCATTGTGCTGGTCTCAGGACTACTCCCTACATTCCTGCCTTCCTCCTCCTGTCACTTGTCATAGCTCTGAGTAGTTGCAGGCCCCGTTTGTGGTCAGTCAGGCTACATTTGCTAGATCTTACCAAATCACGAAGGTAATAAATTGTCTGAGAGAACAGAACAAGTTGATAGGAAAGAACACCAGAACATGAAGTAGTGGCTTCAGCAATTTTAGGATGAACCAAGGTCACTCCGACCTTGCCAAGTACACCAAGAAGCTACCCAAATTAGGAAGAGTTCAGAAGTTTAACCCGAGGAAGACTCACAAGACGATCCCCCGCCCTGATGAAGGCACCGGAACTCCCACCAGACGACTCCCCAAAATGGAAGACTCCACCTATATATGAATATGCATGTAAAGATATGAATATGCATGTAAAGATGATGTAACCTACACTCAAACTTGTATAAAAAAGCTGCACTGATTGCTAACCGAGGGAACTCTTTGTCCAGGGCGGCCTGGAGAGCTCCCCAACACGTTGTTAATAAATACCTCCTGCTTATGGACTTGAAAACTTAGTCTCTGAGCAGTTTCTATTTTCTGAGCAGTTTCTATTTTCTGAGACTGCAGTTTCTATTTCGCCTTTTGGGGCAAATTCGGCATCAGTATTCTGTATGTTGCATGGCATTCAGCCTCTGAAACGGGCATACATCTGGCTTTAGCTGCAGCAAACTTTATCCAACTTGTCCTTTTTATCCACCTCTCTGCCAAAAGGTTACTGACCCCATGTCTGGGATATGAGACGCAAACAGATTGTGGCTTCTCACAGTGCAACCCGCTAGCACAATTGACAAGCTGACAGGAGTTGATTTGCTTGCATTTCTAGTCTGAGTTTATTGTAATTGGAGTCTTCTTCACAACTCAAGAGCATCGCTGCTAATTAAGTCCCGTGTCCCACCATATGGGTGCTGGGGTCTCCAGTATGATGTGGGGAAGGAATCTCTGCTTTCCCCAGATACCATTTGGGATCTCTCTGCACTGGCAAAGGCATTTCAGTGTGGTTGTACCATTCATATGGAGTAGGAAAGAACCAGTTCTTCACATACAGGGACTCCTTGCCTGAGACCACTGGCAAAGATGTGGCAACAGCCTCCCTCAAGGTGGGAATCACACCCAAAAGTGCTAGAGGTGGATGAAGTACTATGAGTTCCAACAGAGCAAGGGGTTCAATTCTTTTTCCTTTTCCCATTGCTTCCTATCCTTTTAGAAAGCTGACTGAATTCAGGTGTTGGTCACGGAGGAAAGACTTTTCTCCTTCCATTACATCTTTATAAAAAGCAGAAGGGCAATAGCACTGTAGGACGTTGTCTGTAGATGTTGACCCTTATGGAATAAGACAGGAAAAGGATGGTGGGTTTAAAGCTCTGGGAAATCTTAATGTGGATCCTTCTTTATATTTATGACCTGGGTCTTTTTTTTTCCCTCTCTGAAATGCTATTTGCAGCTGTGGCAGCACAGACAACACAGAGGCAACATGTTGTAGCTCCTGGGATTGTGTCCTTCACTGTGACTGCTGAGTTAACAGCTCACGGATGCAGACATCATGTGAGACTGTTAGATGTCTAGGGTTTTATAAAGGCAGTTCCAAGTCCTCTTGGCTATGAAGCAGTTGTCCTGCACGTGTGCCGAAAAACCTATGAAACAATGGCAATGCAAAGAATCCAAAATGGATGACATAGGAGAAAAAAAAAAAAAAAATTCTGTTTCTCCAGATCTCCAGGTGTTCACTTGGCTTTTTTTTTTTAATTGAAT